TGGGGTTCGGGGTCCTGCCGCCATGGAGAAAGTCCTAGAATGGCTGGCTGTAGCAGCAACGTAACTGGGATGTAACCGTGAAGTGAGCTCCTCTCTTTTATCTCCGGTCACTCAGAGAGGCACAGATCACCTCTGCACCTTTGGGGTGGGACGAAGCGCCACGCGAACAGGGCCCTGGCTCTGGCATGCTGAGGCGGCGCCTGCGGGCCGCGCAGTGAGGGGTAATTACAGCGGCCGACAAGCGTCCAGCCAGGTGCAGGCACAGCTGCTGCCACCGTTGTGCGTGGCCAGATGGCGCAGGCACCTGTGTCCCCTCTGCCTCATCCTCAGGGTGACGAGGAGACTTCAAAGTGTCACTCCGCAGCAGGCAGCTAGCCCACTGACCCGAACTTCCTCCAGGGCCATCTGCAACCCCCTCTGCGCCTTCACACAAGACCACGGCGGTGGCTGCCCACCACGTGGCAAACCCCATCCCCCAGCACCGCCAGCTTCCTCTGGAGCTGGGTAAATTAGGTGGCTGCCAGCTCTCCTGAGCCCAGCATCAGGGCACAGAACCCAGGGCCTGCATGGGAACCACAAAGCACTGGAGACACACTAAGGAGATGCGTGGGCACCAAGATGCTCTAAAGGCTGCAGGTGCCACCCTACCTGTGACCAGCCCACGGCCTCCCTGCTTGGACCACACTGCTTCTGCTGCCCTCCCCCGGCCCTTCCCCCTGGCACCTCCCCCGACCTGAAAATCGCTCTACAGTCCAGGATTTTGGTCCTACTGAATGACCCCCTATGTGGGTTCGGAACACAGGGCAGAGGAGCAGGTGACCCCAAGTTGACCCCAGTAATTAGGGGGTTAATACCAAGTGAGAGCCGCCGGGGCCTCTGGGTGCCCAGCTGGCTATCTGCAGGCCAGGAGTGGCCAGAGGTGTCACCTCAGTTCTGAGAAGCTGCCCTGTGGCCCCAAACCCCCAGCCCCTCCCACAGACCCCCAAGGGCCCTGTGCCCCACCCACCTCTCCCCCAGACACTTACCCGGTCGCCCTTGATGCCCATGTCTCCTTTGAACCCCGGAAAGCCGTCTTCCCCCTGGACGAGGGACGAGAGAGAGGGCCTCGGTCTAGATGGGAGAGCCCACACCCCGAGGCTCGCCCACTCCGCACTCCGCATGCGCCCAATGCGGAGCTCCCGGCCGCGGCACGCTGCTGGGCAGGCGCGAGGGAGGGTCGGAGCGCCCAGCACGGGTCCCTTGGAAGTGTGTCCAGTTAGCGCTTTGCATTCAGATACATTGTTCTTTGTCCTTGGCCACTCGTTGGCTCAGCCCCACTGGGCCATGAGCAGCCCAGAGCCCGACCTGTTGCGCCCATTTCTCAGAGGCTCCGTCCCACCCACTGCAGGCCCCGTGACGGGGTGGGGGGGTGGGGTGGACAGCTGCGGAGCGAGCTGATGGAGGGAAGCCGGGCTGCTACTGCCCGCTCTGAAAGGAACGGGCACCGTCCAGGAAGGGCCTGGGAGAGCGCCGGCCCTGCCTGCAGGGCGGGTCACCATGGCGGGTCCCAGCCTGGACTTTCCCAGGCAGCCTCCAGGCCCCCCGGCCTTACTGTGGTGCTCGGTCCAGCACGGGCGCTCAGTGGCACCTGCCACACCAACGCTGCGGTCCAGGCACTCGGCTGCTCACCCCCACCCCCGCCAGGCTGCTTCCTGGGCTCCTCGGGGACAGAGCGGTAACTCCTGGCCAAGAAGTGTCCCTGTGCAGCTCAGGCAGCATCCTCGCAAGCAGCCCTTCACTGACTAGCAGGCACGTGCGACAAGGCAATGCAGCCAAACCAGGCTCCGGGAAGCCATCTCCAACAGGATGGAGGTCCTAGGACGGGCACCCAGGATGGGGGCCTGCAACTGACCCTGCGGACAGGGATGATGCCTGCTCCATAGAGAACGTGCTGGGCCACGCCTGACGGGCTGTTTGGAAAACTGTCCTTCCTATTGCAAACGGTTTGCCCAGGGGGTGAGACCCATTCCCTCAGTGCTTAGAGGCGACATCGACCTCAGCTTCTGTCACTGGAGAGCGGCCAGGCCAGGCTGCCACTGCAGGAAGCGACACTAAACTTCAGCTTCTGTCACTGGAGAGCGGCCAGGCCAGGCCAGGCTGCCACTGCAGGAAGCGACACTCACCTTCTCACCCTTGGTGCCCTTCAGACCACGGATGCCATCTGCCCCCTACACCAACAAAAAGGAAAAAGAGTGAGCATGCACAAAGCTGAGCCCTCGAAGAGATGGGTCTAGCCCCGCACGCGGCAGCTGACACTGGAGCCTGGCCACCCCTGCCCACAGACAAGCTCCCGCCTGTGTCCTGTCTCAGGAGGAAGAGCTCTGTGGGCTCCCAGAGGCACCTCCCGTCCCCGCAGCCAGCGACTCTGGGCTGGCCTCCACTGACATCCAGCTCTCTTCCAGAAACGTCCACTTCTGCAAGGTACGGGGAGCAGGCGGGACATGAGGACTGAGCACAGGCTCTGGAGCCCGGCCCTGCTCCGTGGCCTCAGACCACATCCCAGGCTTCTGTGAGCCTCGGTTTCCTCATTTGGAAAGAGGGGTGATGACAACCCTCACCTCCTTCTGCTGGTGGGAGTGGGGCGCCTACGAAGCCCTCAGGATGGCGCCTGGCACGTAGCAGACGCTTGATAAGCAGCAGCTCTGTGCCATTGGATTAATTTCATTCTCGATTATTATTATTGATACAGCATAACACAGCGTGACATCACTTACTAATCGATACCACCCACCACCACGACGATCCGTGCAGTCAGCTCAGGGCGTGTCTGGCAGGCCCAAGAGGGCAGGCTGTGTCCTGTCTGGCTCAGGTACCAGCATCTGGCCCACTGAGTGGGCCAGTGGGGCACTGACACTGACTGCCGCTGGCCAGAGGCGTTCTCAAGCCACCTGCCCACGGGACAGGGGACCCCAGAGAGAGGCCAGGCCTCCTAGTTCAGCCAGGACGGGGCCACCTCCTGGGACCCGCGGGCTGCCAGCTGCCCTCTGTGGCAAGAACTTCAGCCGTCTGCAGGTCTGGGCCTTACCCCAGGGCCGGCGAGAGGGGCCGAGACCGACAGAGGCTGAGAGCTGGGGCCTGGCCGCCGCCTGGACTGGCCTGTGATGCCACAGCACCCTGGGCTCTGTCACCCTTGGCCATGAGATACTTCGGGACAGAGGAAAGGTGCAGTTACCCTGAAACCTGTCGTGGGGGCTCCAGTGCACCCACAATAGCCCCAGTGGCCGGCACTCAGGGGAGCGAGGATGAAGGAGCTGGCACGGCAGGGCGACGGCGGTGCCTGGCCAGGGACCTGAGAGCTTGGGCGGGACAGGGACCCCCACGGCCTTGAGCGAGTGTGGCTCCCGCGGGCTCAGGGAGGGGTGGATGTGATTCTGCAGTCAGCGGGCACCCCCGAGACAGGCAAGGGGGCAGAGGGTGGGGGGTGGGGTGCTTAATGGTCAGTGAAGTCAAAGGGCGGGGCAGGGGGGCCTCACTCGGGAAGAAGGCGGGATCCAGGGAGAAAAGCTAGACCTCCCTTATGAAGGGCTGTGGGGCTCTAAGGTGACAGCTCGGCCACCACACCCGCCTCCGCTGTCGCCTGCCTTAGAGACCTGCTCATTACACGTTCAAACAGGCGGGAGGATGAGAATCTATTTCCGCAGTGAAAACAGCATCCAGCCCTGCCTTCCCTTCCACGCGCTGCTCCGAGTCGAGCTGGATTGTGCATGTTGTGAGTGAATTTTAATCAGATAGACAGGATAAGAACATTCTTCATAAACATTTTAAAGCAAACACCTCTTAGCCGGCAGAAGCAGCACCGTGCAATTAACCACGGAGCGGCGCACTCAAA